AAAAAAAAAAAAAAAAGGAAAAGTTTATTCCTGTAACACACCGGAATAAATAGAAGAGTAAAGACAAAATTGCAAAAATGGTCTCTGTGGTATGCAAAATTTTGGGGTTTTAGTCCAAATCCCGAGTTTTTTGGATTCATGGTCCTTTTAGAGTGGTTTGTATGTGGAATTGGTCCCCGGACTTAACTTCCGTTAACTTGATGCTGTTAACCCCCTCGTGTGCCTCTCACATGAGGATATATTTGTCTTTTTACTTCTAAAGGAGCATTTTTGCATTGAAAAAAATATATCCCTCTTTTTTTTTTAAAAAAATTGATACTTATTTATTTATTTTAATAATTAAAAAATAAAAGATCTCTCTCTCTCTCTCTCCATTTTAGATCCAAACTCGATTTCATATTTGAAAAATTATTTCATGTTCTGGGGAATGGAGAAATGGGCACACAACATAATCATCATCATCTTTCCCGAATCATCACCCTTCTCTATTGCTAAATCCATCTTTAATTTTAGAAACCCCAACTCCAATTTACCCCACCCCTAAATTTACTCCTGTCACTCTGTACCTCCCGTCCGTCGGTGAGAAGCATTATGGTCCAGTGGTCGCTAAAGATCTTGATCTAAATCTAGAAGATTGTGGTTTCATCTGAAAGCGGAGAAACGCCTGAGAAGCTAAAAGGATTTTGTTAGTCGGGGTTCACATCAGACACAACAAGGCGAAAATGGGTTTGGAAGGAAACGACTGCGACGACAACGGCGGTGGAAGGAAAGGGTGTTTGTTCGTCGGAGTTCACATCGGAAACAGCAAGGCGACCATGGCGTTGAAAGGGAAAGGTTGTGGCAACAACGACAGTAGAAGGAAACAATATGATGTTCCGGTGGTTGCTGGTACTTATATAGGGCTTGATAGTGTATGAAACTGATGTGGTGAGAAATCTGATGGTCGATTGGTCGTTGGGTGTCCTGCCACAGCTCTAATTTCCAGCTACCTAATGGCTTCCGACAGTGAATGTGGCATCTGATGGTGGTTCAAACGGATGAGAGAGAGATGGAAATAAATATACGACTTTCAGTTTTAGTCTAATATGCAGCTACCTCAAAATCTATTTAATTTTTTGATTTACAGCTTGCATCTTGTAGTGGCACACTGTGAACATCATCCCCTCCTTCCCAGATTTGTTCGCCAAGGGTTTTTAGATGGTAACTCAAGAATTGGAACCCTAAATTTGAATCTAAACTGAAATTATGCGTGTTTGTGTGTATGAATCCCCACAAATGGAATCAGATATTGAGTTTTTGTTTTGTTTGCGTTTTTTCATTTTCGAAATCGATTTGTGCATGTGTTTTTGTTTTTGGAGAATGTGTGTGTTCTCATTTCTGGAAATCAATTTGTTTGTGGGTGTTCAACCCCATAAATTGATTTGTATGTGGGTGTTCTTGAATGGTATGTGTGGTATGAATTGATTGATGGCAGTTCGGTCTAGTGTACCAGAAGAACATTACGGTTCTACTTTGGTGGATGCTATTGGATTTGGTGGATATCGTAGGGGAGAAAGAGAGAGAGAGAGAGAGAGAGAGAGAGAGAGAGAGAGAGAGAGAGAGAGAGTTTTTTATTTTTTAATTATTAAAATAAATAAATACGTATTAATATTTTTTTTAAAAAAGGAATATATTTTTTCAGTGCAAAAATGGTACATTAGAAGTGAAAAGACAAATATACCCTTATGTGCCGGTTAACAGCAACAAGTTAACGGAAGTTAAGTCCGGAGACCAATTCCACATACAAACCACTCCAAAAAGACCATGAATCCAAAAAACTCAGGGTTTGGACTAAAACCCCAAAAATTTACAGACCACAGAGACCATTTTTGCAATTTTGTCAAGAGTAAATTACTAAAATCGTCCCTATGATTTGGTTAAAATTGCACGTTTGGTTCCCAACTTTTATTTTGCACTCGGATCGTCCCTCTGGTTTGATTTTGTTGCGTTTTTCATCCCTAAGATATAGTCAAAATTGTACGTTTGGTCCCTAACTTTATGTATGTAAGGGACGAAAAATGCAACAAAATTAAACCACGGAAACAATCTTAATGCAAAAAAGAAGTTAGGGACCAAACATGCAATTTTGACCAAACCATAGAGACGATTCGATTTCAGTAATTTACTCTAAATAGAAATTTATTTTTGCAATCCAAACACTTTATGGGCATTAACCCAGAATAAGGTAATAAACACTTTAAACAAGCAATCCCAAACACCCACTAATTCATGACATTCATGTCAGGGGATTAGTGGTACTAGATTTGATTGATTTGTAAGCTATTTTGCATACATCAGGGCCGAGACGTACACCATTGTAATTTTTTTTACCAAAATCCAGTATTGCAATGAATCATTGTGATAGATTTCAAACATTTAAGCCCGGTTTATGGTTTATTTACACTGGCATAATAGGACATAACAAGATAGCCTTGTACTCCATTTTCCAAATGAGAATGAAACTTATGTCAATATGATTAGTGGGAATGGGACTCGATGTCTGTAGTACAAATGCATAAATAAGTCACAACTCAGAGGTGATCTTTGGCACCAAAAAAAAAATGGCAGAATTTCTCCAACATAAATCGCATCAGAATTTAACGTTTTAAACCACGAAAAGATATAGCACGGAAGGAAAGTTACAAATGAATATCATCACCAGATCCTTGAGTCATCATCTACATTTTCTTTTTCAATCCTTCTTCAATGGAGTTTGAGGTTCATGGGCATTCCATTGTACCAACATCCACACTATCGATGTGCCTGTTTGGTAGGGAATTATCAGAAGGAGGCAATCACTCCAATCACATACAAATCGTTCATTTCACCTATAAAGATACAAAATGAATAATAATATCATGAGATTAATACCTGCAAAGACACCAACAGTTGCAAGATTCCCAATGGCCATGGTGTGGTAGATCAAGTATTCTGTCAAAAAGTGACCAAGCGCATAGATGAAGGATAAAAATGTTGCAAGATAAAGCGGTTTGTTGTCGAGGTTTAATGCACAGAGGAAACACATAGTGCAAGTAAGAAGCGTCCAAACCCCAAATGTTCGTCCATGAATTTCAGACACTGCATACGAAACAAAAGGTTCGTTCATATTAGAAGTAAAACCTGATGATTGTGGAGTAAAGCTAGTTGATTTCAGGTAAAGACGTCGAGAAGTCAACAAATGTAGCTACAATTTCGCAACCGAGGGTTCCAGGATCTTAATTGGTGATATTTAGGTCAGTTTTAGATTCGATCAATGTGGATGAGAATTGAAGGATGAAAAAGTTCGATTGACTTGAAATGATTAAGATTCAACATGGACCCAAGACTCTGACGATTGCTAAAGCATAAAGAATTATAACAAATTGATGTAAATTAGAAAAAAGGAAAGGGGACTAACTGGTGGTTTGAGAGAAGACGGCGCGGCGGAGAGCCCAAATGTCGAAGAAACCAAACCATACAGAGGCCAAGCGAAGTGAACCTACCAACATCAACCACCATCCCAAGGCTTTCATCTTCTCCGAAGTTCTCTTGGGTTTGGTGGTATCAGATCTACTTCGTTACAAGTAGTATAAGTGGATCGGCTCTGGTCTACCAACTCTGGTTACACTTTCTTTGCTTACTTAACGTTAAACACTCACCTAAGCCATAGATAAATTAATAAATTACAGATATAACCAAAACCGTGAATTACTTTGTAGCAAACAGTCAAAAAAAACCCCAATTACAAAAATAGTCTGTAAAATCGCAGATGGATTAAGTACATTTGCGATTTGACAAAGCCGTCTGCGAACGTACAAGAACATCCATGATTTAGCGACTTGTACGTTCGCAGATGGATTAGTTCATCTGCTATTGCACATTCCATCTGTGATTTCATCTTTTTCGCAGCTATAAAAACGTAAATTTTTTTTGTTTGTTTCATTTTTCACACTTTTCGTTGGAGAACTCTCTCTCTCTCTCTCTCTCTCTCTCTCTCTCTCTCTCTCTCTCTCTCTCTC